AAGAAGAAGAAGAATGCTATATTGAGGATTTTACAAACCTGAATTTTCAGCATTTCTGTATTGTAAGTCGGAAGTGACGCTGATTAGCCATCATTTTGGGCTAATTGTTTCGTACAATTTCCAATGACGACGACTTGGTGAGCCAGTGTCGAAAATCAACTCAATAAATCACCGTTTCTCAGAGTACTCCTACCGAATTATACTTCTTGGGATAACGATTTTTTAATTCATGCTTATAAATATCTGTTCCCGGTCTTCGTACATCTAACAATATAAATTATTTAGGCCTTTTTCGCATACGGCGTAACAGTGAAAATTGACGGCATGTCGCATGTGTTCGTAAATACGCTTCTGTACGGCCCTAAGTTTCGCTTTGGGAAAACAAACTATAGCTGTTAAAGTGTATTACTTACTTAAATGGCATAGTGCGTATCCTATCTGCAAAAACAGTTCTTTGTTAACTGAATCGGCTCATATTTTCCCGAAAATAATGCGATTTCTAATAACTGCATCGAGATGGTTTTTAAGAAAGCAAAAATGTCCGTGCTGTAACCATTTCTGATTAAATTACTGCTATTTTATAATATAACACGCATAAAAAGATGTTTGGATTTGGCCCTATTTGGCCTTCTGCCTTCTACAATGCACTGATCTCAAATAAAGTCTTTTCTAGTGCACAGCATTGTGAGTCTTAAATCAAATCAATTACCAAAATAAACAACCTCAAATGTTGATCTTGACATTTACTTTTACTGTATGGATAATTGAAGTAGTTTGCATCCGGAAATGATATTATGGAAAGAGAGGTCTTCAGAAAATCGAGTTGTACTCATAAAGTTTCAAGCTATTAACATCGGCTCGTCGTCGGACGAAATGACGATGGGAATTGTCCTACTAGAGCGTTTAGTGGGTGGAGAGGGGGCAACCGTCCATGGCATGGTGAAACTAAGTGTTACGGTTAGTGAGAAAATGTTGACATTTAGAGAATGATTCACGTGAAGCGGGCGTGACACATCAGCGAATCTCCGCTTGGCCGGGCATTGGTAAGCAGCTGTTTTCTTAAGGGGGATGGGTTGGGGGGTGCGAAGCTGTCAGCCGTGCCCGCATGCCGTCCTAGTTTCGTCCAGTCGGACATGCGGGAAGGTGCTTGTCGGGCTATCGTGCTCCCCCCCACCCCCAAGTGAAGCGATGATCACACTCGAGGGAGTGCGCAAATAGGTGTGATAAGAGGTCCTCTCGCCGAATGGCGATGCGAGTTCCAAGACATCGGCCTGTGTGGCCAACGTAAACAGGCAGAGAGCTTCGTTGGTCCAGCTTCTACCGATGACTCACAAAGGAAGATTGTCGAGTTTATTTGTCAGACGTTTATGCGAAAACAAAGCCGATGGAACTGGCCAACGTGGGGCAGAGTGTCATACCGAAGTCAGCGCTTCCAGGGACAGTTTTAAGGAAGGATGAAGGAGATGCGGTATCAAAACGCCTGTGCAGATTAATCTGGTCTGCCGGAAAAGTTATTTCTTTTATAAAGACGGTATTTTAATGCTAAAAGTTTCATTCTGGACACGAAAACAAGGACATATTCCACAAATGCTTCCGATTACGCATGTTCCGAATGGGGTAAATGTGCAGACATCGTGAAAATATGGATTCGAATAAGCAGAAAGTACCATATGAACTAAATATTAAAAGTAAAATGTCAGGTTTTAAGTTTAGGTAACAGTAAAGAAAAAAATATAGGCGCTATTACTTCCGCGGTTGCAGCAAGGATTAAGAAGGAGCATTTTGCGACATGAGAAATGAGTCTGCATTATTTAAGTGTCACCCACCGAGACGACCTGGGGAAAGGAACACTCCCACCCGCAATAAAAGTAACATTGTGGTAACCTAACCTTATCACTAACCTCAATCATACCCTAAACCAAAAACAGTGTCTAGTTAAGTGAAAGTCATTTCAAAATCACCTGCAGTAATGGCAGTCTCCGTACTCATGTCCTGGCAGGGCATCATACAAACATGTGTCACCTTAGCCATAAATGTCACTGACGAGTAAAGGTAGGCTGGGACCTACTGTCCCGATGGATGGATGGATGAATGAGAAAGCTCGAAGGCTAGTTAAAGAAACGACCTAAGCAAAGCGATCTCGAACACAAGAAATTTGGCCTATTCCTTCGGATGATAACGTTTCTACTACACTAGAGTCTGGTGTGATAGTAATGCATTGATTGGCCGTTTTGCAATAACCTCTTTATGTTTAGTTGACCCAAATGTGAAAAAAACTCGCGGCACTCGGCGGGATTCTAACTTGCATCTCTGCCAAACATTTTTAATAATAAGGTCAGCCTAGTAGCCATTCTGATGTATTCTAAATGATTGGTCAGGAAATCCTGCTTGGGCAGTCAACTTGCTGTTTGATAAAACTCACGGTGTGAAGCGTGGCATTCGTAGCTCAAGAGGGTAGAGCGTTGACTTACGTAGAAGGCCTCCCCACCTTTGCGGGTTAGAATCTCACCGAATGCCACGCTTTTTTTTACAATTGGGTCAACTAGATTAACCAAAACTGTCTAACCTCCCAAATAACCTTTTATACCCGAGTGGCTGACTGGCTATTGATTGATTCATTCGCAGGATTGAGCAAGGTAATCAATATTGCCTAATGCTGCGCCACATGGTGATTGGCCAGCTGACATCACACGCACATTGTTTTGCCCGCTTGGTCGTCTTTACCGTGCGTAGGCGGGCTTTCTTTCGTTTTTGATCGTGAATCCATCTGGCTTCTTCCCTCCACAACAAGAACGATAATTGATTATAAACCTGTGATTAGCGAGGGACTATGTGGCCAAGAATTTCAGATCCCTACAGATTTGATAGGGATGCGGTTTTGTCCTTTAGGATGAAACACAAAAGGCACAATTGCCGATCCAAAGAGTGACTATTTAATAGGCTATGAACGTCAAAGAAATCCACAGTCTTCTCAGTTGCCAATAAAGCCAACATGCGGGTCACAGACAGTTATTGAGAAAAAGTGGATGTGGTCGTTGAGACAAGACTTTTATTTGCCTGACGTTTTGAAAGTCCTCTCGGGCCTTTCTTCAGAGACTAATAAAAACGGGTAATTCATGCATAGGGAGCTGTTGTATCTATAGGATACAGTGCCAAGGAACCAGATGGCTGAGGAATTATCACGTCCAATTCCACGACGTTTCATTAAATTTGGACAGGTCACGGCCCGCACGCCGGACATCAAGCAATTATCCTCGGTAGGAGAGTCGTTAATTATCCTGAGTGTGCTGTAGCATAGTGACTGTATCCCATTAATAATGCAACTTCCTGTCCATGAATAGCCCGTTTCTGGTAATTTCTCAGATGAAGGATCCGAGGCGGATTTCGAAACGTCAAGCGAATAAAATTATATTCCCAGCGCTCACATGTAGTTCTCAGTTTTATTTCAATTTATAAACTGTGCTGGTGCGCGAGGTTGTCTTGGAAACCGGATAATAGGCGAATAGGTTGCCTAAAATAGTACTCGTGCTTTTATAATGCCCTCCGGCAGTTATCGCTTTATCTACAAAAAATATTATCACTTAACTTTCGTCCTCGTTTTATTTAGAACGAGTTAAAAGGAGCCTATCTTCTGTGTCTGATGAGCGGATACTGGATCACCGGCTTTATTCCGCTTTACGTGACATCACTTCTTCCAATTCTCTTTGCTCCGCTCTTGGGACTCGTCACAAGCGCTTCTATCGCTCGGGAATACATGTCGGTAAGTGTCCCACACACCTCTTATTATATTTCATTTAAAAGTAGTATTCTTTTCTGAACAGTAAAAGTCGTTTGAAATGAATGTCCGCCCCATCCGCCCAAAGGTTTTCTTTAGCAGATACCTAGAAAGAGAGATGACAGAATTGCGTGCAGGGAATTAAATCTCTTTCCCGTTCCCTGTAGAGTTCAAATCTTCTCTTCCTGAGTTGCATGATGCTGGCCGTGGTCGCCGAGAACACAAATCTTCATCGCCGAATTGCGATGGCCTTTGTACGAAGAATGGGAAGCGATCCTCGTCTGTATGTTTCGCTCTTCATATGAGCCAATACTTTCTTAAGCTATTTTTTTCCAAAGTTTGAAAAACGGGCTAGGTGCTTATCCGCTTAAGAAGTTTTGCGAGGCAGTGCGACATGCATAAGAAATCCAAATCTTTGTACTGTTTTAAACGGACAGTTTTTTTGATCAAACCTGTCATAATAAGTATTTGTGATTTGCGAACCGGTATATACTTGTCTAATGCATTCACAGCTTTTGAGGTGCTTTGAGAAGGAATTATGTACAGTCATCAAAATCCGGAATTTGCGCATTCTGAAGGATAGTTGGTGAACATGTGTAGGCTTCCGATAAATCCTCATCGGGCCAGTACATTTATATGCGAATGGTGTACAAATTAAAAGAGTTCGTATTTTCATAAAATGAGTCTTGATAATAGCGCACGGGCGGGCGGGGACGATAAAAGAAAACTGGTTACGTGGAAAGGGTTGGACAAAGACAGTCTAGGAGAGGGGAGGGGAGGGGCGGGAGACAAACAGAACATGGACGAGTGCTTACAGCGGAGCTTGTAGGGAGGCTATTTTGTGCACATAATGCCGCTTTCCTCAACCTGATAGCAGCTGCTTCTGCTATTGCTGGCAGGCGCTGACGCAGGAACTTTGGATAGATTATTAGGACGGTATAAATCATCCGGAAGACTTTGTTGGAGTCCGGCATGTGGGCGAGAGTGGCTCTGTTTATGCTCCTGATGTCACTTTTGCTCAGCAATCCCGGGAGATACTCCCGTATATTTTTTAATAAGCGCTGACTGGTGCTATCGATCTAACCTGCTCAACAGGAGCAAGTAAATGAGAAGATGCAAATTAAGGTGGTCTGCGCTGGCAACCTCTCCCATTCTTGTGCGTGCTTTTCAAAGTGAATAAATTAGATCGACGATGGATAGTTCGGCCATCGTTTTCAATGAAGTCCACCAAGTAAAGGAGACGCGCTGCTGCCTTCCTCCCTCTAAACGCTCTTTCCGCTTGAACCGCTGACAAGACAAAGGTCAAGCTGACCGAACAGGAATACCGGCCAGAACACCGCCCAACTTAGTCTTAAGTGACATTAGTCTTTTGCGCTGGTACTACTACACTACCTAACCTCACTAACTTTCAGTAGGTTCTAAAACACGTTCAAAGAAATGAAGGCTGGTACGGCTGTAGCACTGCTACTAACTAGGAGTTTAGCTTAGTGATAGTAGTACTGGTATTATTACTGCCGCTATTATAGGTCAAAAGTGGTGCTGATTAAAGTCAACTCTTGGCTCATATCTCCTCAATCTCAACAAGAAGTGTGAACCTAGGATTATGCTATTCTGTTTGAAGCTCGGAGCACAACATATATTTCCTTGGTTTCCGCCCACTGAGCTCTATCCACGAGACTTTAGCAGTGTCTACTCAGCTTGGACTACGAAGACCAGGATACTACTGCCAAAAGTACTGTCCTTACATCAAACGTGCTAATTCTACTGATCATTCCTTCCCAAGACCAGTTAATAGTATATTGTAATACCTTGTGTGTGTCTGTGTGTGCTTGTAGAAAGTTGGCAAACAGATAATAAGCTTATGGGTTATAGCAACGATATTGAAATATAACTCAACTGTCTGTCCATCAAACGCTGTCACACTATACTAAATTTAGGCTTCGATACTGCTGATAGAGGCAATACGCCAATGCTAAGAGCGTTAATTATAATAATAATATTTACTAAGACCAGCGGCTACTTCATTTTAGTAATATATTCCAATAATTGTATCAGTAGGTGAAATGAATCGTTCATTTGCAACATGTCGATCATTTTGGCTGATTTGTAAGACACCCGGACAAGAGTTCACGTCCGGTAGGTAGGTAAGACTGTCAAAGATCGACCACTAATAATTCACTGATTAGCCCTTTTAGCTTATTTAAACCAGCCACATAGCCAAAGTGGTAGAAACGAAAAGGCGAATTTGATGTTGTTGTCTGATAGCTTTTAAATTGTCAGCCGAATATCTTAAAAGCGGTGGATTCCACAGTTTACAGTAACCTACTTGTGTGACCTAGTTTAAGCCGCGAAAACCGACGTGCCACAGCTGGGGCCTTGGAGTTCAAACGGTCATGACGCAAGCCGTACATAATCCTGGCTCTTTTTGTCGAGGGGTTCTAATCCCGGCAAAACTGCCGAGGTTTTGGATAACGTCGTGTTTTAATGAGATATGCTCATTTCTGATGAATATCTACGTTAACGAGTGAATGCATTCATCGATGTTAGCAGAGAGGCCCACGATAAAGGCATTCGATTTTGTAATGGTCAGTCATATTACTGTCTGACTTGAAGACTTTGAAATGAACCAGTGTCCGTTTTTGATCAAATCTATTTAACATGCATGAGTATATGCATTAGTGGTTTGCAGAGAGATTCAATGGCTGAACAGTATTCAGTTGTTTGCTGCAGTGACAACTTCTGACGTGCTCTGATGAAGGATTAAGTACAGTTAACAAAACACGAATAAGTCGTTACGGCATCTCCATCGCCCAAAGACTGTGACCCCCTACGCTTAGAGCAACTGAGCAAAGTTGTCTACTATATACTGTGCTCCAGCCGTCCTTGAGTTTACACTGGCCGACGTCTTGGGAGGTGCATCAACAAACACAAACTTGTCGTTCGTCGACGGGACCCTTTATCACTTGTATTTGCGTACCCCTTTGACTGTGACCATCGCTCCATTTGGGACGGCACGTAGGTGATCGTCAAGCGAGAGAGCTCCTCGAAGCCTGGCACTCGAGTCTGATCAGTCTTAACAGACTCGTAACTCTCGATACACATTACCACTCAAAAGAACGGTCTATGCAAAGGCTATATAAAAGATGCGATTACAACTATCCATTTACGCCGCCAAACATGAGAAATTCATTATTTTCTTATCCTCAAATAAATAGAGCGTGTCATCTCTCCGGTGTTTGATTTTGTTGCATTTTACGCTTGGCCATACATTAGAAACAGTTTTGCAGCCATAAGAATAATATTTTTTCCGTCCTCATTCAAAGACTCATCCTCAGTGTGATGCTGCCAACCTGGTTTCTATCAATGTGGATGAACAATACCTCAACCACGGTCATGATGGTGACTATCACAGAGGCACTGCTGACGAAACTGGATGAAGTCTGCAAAGGTCTTTCGACGTGCACAATATACTGTTGCCCCGTTTTCGTAAACCATTTTTACACGCTTTATTTGTTTATGCGATCTACTAAGCGCATGCTGTATTTACAGATGACAAAAACGGAGTCGTCGCGCTGACCGAGATCACGTAAGTAGCCCCGGTTTTGTAACGTTCATTGAATCAGTCTTGGCAGAAATATAGGTTTTAAACAGTAAAAAGCATTAAAATTTTAGATAGAAACAAACGGACGAGTTCCATGAAGTGGTTCAGCGGAAGCAGATCTAAGCACTGGAAAAAGATGTATACTGACTTGCCGTTTCGGAAACTCACCCACAACAAGAGGTTTTAACAGTATCGTTTGCGGCTCACTAAAGCAAGGGAAAATCCCAGCATTCTGTAATACGGCACCCCTGACCGATTGCTCCGTTCTGAGAAGTAGCATAGTGACTGTATCCTATAGATCTCTGGAACAAGAGGTGTCTTTGCTGTCTATACATGTAACACATCATTCAGCGGTAAACTCTGATATAGCGTTCTACGAGGCAGAATCCTAAACGTCGGGCAAATAAACTTCTTTTGACAGGGTCCGCATCTTTTACTTCTGAACTGCTTCCCGGAATTAGCCTATTCGTTTCTATCTTTGATTGCATTTTCTCATTTTCAGCAGCTGCCTCGTTGACATTCTAGGCGTCCACTTCACAGCCAGTAGCGATCCCCTTGCACTCAGGCAGCCTTTTTGTATTCTTTCACTTTAGAGGCAGTCATGCCAAAACAACATCGGATGAAGCTCCCGCTAAAAAGAAACAGCGTGAGGAGATTAACAGATTTGCAATGGGTATAAGCCTGTCCATCGCCTACGCTGCATCTTGTGGTGGAATAGCTACAATCACAGGCACGGCAACCAACACAATATTTTATGGACTGGTTTCCAGGTCAGCTGCGTTTAAACATATTCCCACCTTTAATGCAATTCTGCAATAAAACTGCAGACCCTTCTACTGACTAGACAATTTACACGCGCAATTTAAACTAGCATTTGATTAGGTCATCGTTGGTGTCTCGCAATTCAGGTTGGATAGCATACAGATACTTCTCCCCGCTAAAGCGGTCTCCCATGCCGACTAAAGTATGGGTGGTTTTGAGCCAGGCGATTTCCCCTTTACTGTGCGAATGAAATAATTATAAATTAGACGGCGTTTTCGAACATTTGCAAGATGGGTACCTTCCTTAATGTCCCTCCTTTCACTATATAACATGGTCACGCTTGCCTTCTGTTACTGAACCATCTACGTGGGGTTGCTTTTCCCTTGAAAATAAAAACAATGTGCGAATACCCAACGGCAACAGAGGTTGGCTCCCTCACCTCCTCTACCCCCTTCACACAATTTGATAATGGGCATCAGCCGCATTGCTGGGTTTGTAAGGCACACAATCGTTTGAATTGATGTTTTTACTTACTATACTAGCATACTAACTGATATATACCGCGAATAGAAATTAATCTCTCAGGAGAGTTAAAAGCTGAGCACATTCACAAGCCTGCAAATAAACTATAATGCAAATGGTTTTAGGCTACGTTACCGGTTTAAAGTTGCAATTTTTGCGAACTATGCCCTGGTCTTCGAGATCCAGATGAGAACCGTAGTCAAACAGTTTGCGAATATTTTTTTAAATCACCAGCGAGGATTAAATATAGACTGAGAATAAGAAGCTGTGTCGATCACCGGAATCATAGTTTTACTAGTCTGAGCTTTCGAACGCTTACGGGAGTCCATCGCCAGAGATAGGAAACAGCAACAAAAAGGAGCCACTTATGACGTGTGTACAAAGCGAAAGTTTGAACGTGTAGAAAATCGATAACTGTGTGGCGTGGTCGCCGATTGGCCACTGCGAACTATGTCAGTCTGTGCAAATAGGCGAGATCGGCCTTTTGGGTGGGAATGTTAGTTTTATAAGCAGGGCAGATGGGCGAGGCAACATCGAGGCAATATGCAAAGTAGAGGCGCGTAACTAGGCGGCAACTTGGAATTTCGAGGTCGCTGGTTTAAGAAAGTTGAATGGTGCAAAACTGTTGGCAGCAGATAAACGTAACTGTAGCCTTTCCCCTAATGCCAGATTTTAGCCAGCACCATAACACGTGCTAGAAATGCCCTATCATAAATAATACAAGCGAGTAGTTTGTAATGTAAGGTACTGATAAATACTGGTTGGGCATCGAGAGCACAGTCAATTGGCGTATAGCTCTGAGGACAACGTACAGAAGAACCTCTATCGCAGGGGATTAAGTAAGGTAAACCCTAGTAACTGGAATTTTCAGGCCCGGTTCCTTAGGAGAGGAGAAGTCATAGATGGCCAGAGTGGTGGGAATGGGACAAAAGGCAGTAGGAACTTGACTGTCAAACAACCGCACTTCTGCAAGCCAGCGTGCGGGCGGAGTGTTCAAAGATCAGAGTGTAGGGGATTGCCGGAAACTCTGCGCAGACTTTGTTCCTGCGGCCAATGGTGCAGTCTGGTTGATTCGAGTTCTCAAGAGATTAACGTCCAGTCTCACAGTACTGGTTTGAACTTGAGACTGGCCTAGACGACCGGTAGATATGTCGTCATTGGCAGGGGTGAGTCTTCGCGCGATGATCGTCTACACAGCGTGAGTCAAAACACCTCGCGCAGCTACCTGCACGACTGACAGTAGATTAACGACCACCGTTCTATGACTGCTGCCTGTTCGCTGGACGTAGCACCACTTCCAAATCTCAGAAAAATAAACGAATATCTCCTGCACTAGAATCATATTCTTCCGTAGCATGTCTGAATGCCTCACCCAAATGTACCCTCCCCTCCCAAGAATATACACTTTTTAGTAAACTCCCCCTTCGTTCGTGTTGTTTCCTTTAGCCGATACGGTGATAGCACTCCGCTAAATTTCGGATCATGGATGGCGGTCGCCTTTCCAATCTCCCTTCTCTGCCTCTTTGCCGTGTGGATTGTGATTTGTCTGGTCTATCTCGGCCCAAGGTAAGCTTAGAGAGGCGATAAAATTTAACTGTACATTGTTGGTTTTGTCAATTCCTTTTGATGTGGCAGAACTTAAACGCAAATAAGCCGAGAAACGAGATGAATAAGTCGTAATATAAGAAAATGCTTGCACGTTTCACAATATGACTTCGAAGCAATGAGTGTTAGTCTGTTTGTTTTGAAAGGAAGAAGATGAAATCGCTAAAACAGGAATTTTTTCACCGGAAGTTTCGAAATTCGCCACGAATTCCTCATCATAGACATTAGTATAAACCGTAGCGAAAACTATAAACAGTAGCAGTTTACTTTTTCCGAACTTACCGGCGTCTGCTCGCTCTTGAGGTATGGTGTACTAATGCATTTATTAGCTACTTTGTAGCGATAGGAAGTTAAAAGGCCTTTGCCTATATTTGCCTTAATAAACCAGACCTAA